TTACAACTCTATATTTAACGTTAATTCATTCATTTATTGTTAAACTTATTTTAGTTTATTCCTTCTAATGGGTTCTGACATATTTAAAGGCCATGTTGCTATTTGTAACCCTAGCTTTTAACATAGCACCCTAATATTGACGTTTTTAATATTATTTTAAATAAAGAGGTATATACAAGATATAACTCAGCCATCTTCTCTACCTGAGGATCCAATCACATTTAAGATGTTATGCAAATCACCAATGCAATATTGACTTAAACAGACATTGCAGGAACTTGAATACATTTGCAGCAAACAAGAAGGGGCCCAATCAAAACAGTTTGCTAAATAAACTTTATATTTGCTTAATACATGCATATATATAAACTGTATTCTTGTTATTAGAGCTAATCCAAATAACATGTTGAAATGCTCTTTCTCCCCAGTCATATATACAAATTCCTTATTTCTGTTTATTCCTTCTAATGGGTTCTGACATATTTAAAGGCCATGTTGCTATTTGTAACCCTAGCTTTTAACATAGCACCCTAATATTGAGGTTTTTAATATTATTTTAAATAAAGAGGTATATACAAGATATAACTCAGCCATCTTCTCTACCTGAGGATCCAATCACATTTAAGATGTTATGCAAATCTTCAATGCAACATTGACTTAAACAGACATTGCAGGAACTTGAATACATTTGCAGCAAACAAGAAGGGGCCCAATCAAAACAGTTTGCTAAATAAACTTTATATTTGCTTAATACATGCATATATATAAACTGTATTCTTGTATTAGAGCTAATCCAAATAACATGTTGAAATGCTCTTTCTCCCCAGTCATATATACAAATTCCTTATTTCTGTTCAGTACTGTGATGAACATTTTATAACATTAGCTGATCATCTCCAAGCTTTGTGGCACATGACTTTCAGAACTATTATTTTCAAAGCTTTACTTTTAATGAAATTATCCATTTCCACAATAGAGTGCATTATTTCCTTTAGAGCTTTAGAATAGTTTTTTCCACCAAAGTTTCCCAATATTAAAATAAAATAAATAATAATATAATAAAATAAAAATGTGTGGATACAAAGCGAGAAAATTCTTATTTTAATTTTGAAGTAATAACTTTCATTCCACCAAATCATTTTGCCACAGCATCATCAACGAACACTGAAATACAATTTTTGCAACATAATCCACTTTCTGAGAATGCAAATGTCATACAATTATAGATGTCTGATCCCGTTGACATCAGAGGTAATTCTTTACACTGAAGGAACTGTTCAGCAGGCGATTATTCATTTAAAAATCTTACACAGGTCATTCATTAGCATGTTTTACTTATGTCTGTTGATTTATCAAGCTTAAATGTAAGTTTTGCACTATCATTTAATTTTTCCGTTAGATGTTTTTGAATATAACCTCACATGGTCTCTATGCTTAGAGCAATGGTATATCTGACAAAAGTATTCTTGGTATCTCCTTGGCAGTCTGCCCCTAACATGGATTTTACTATTTCTTTACAAACAGGTAAAATCAAAATTTCTGCAGCTGTATGTGGCTGCATTTTTCCAGAATTACTTCTGCTACTTTATAACTAGCTACTTGATACATGCAAACCAGTCTGATTCTAACTAATTACTAAACTGCAAGTTGCCGAATGGGGGAAGTAGAACTACGTTGTGAAAACTGTTGCACGCAGAGTAAAAGAACCCAGAGGAATAGATTCACATCCTCAAATATATTCCTCTGGGTTCTTTTGTTTTTTGCTGTGTGTGCTGTATACCAGTGACTGCTTTTTCTAGCATGGACAAGAGGGAAAGAACAATTCTCCCCATTTTTACCTTGAACGAAGATGTACAAATTGCAGTTAGGAGCCAAGGAAGAATTCATTAATTTTCTTTTTCCATTTTGAAATAGAGATCTCTTTCTGATTGAGCAAATCAAGGTAACAAAATAATATTAGGGGCAGAAAGAGAACATGATACTGTTGATGTCAAAATCACATTCGCTAAACAACAATGTATTTTAATACTGCATACATTTTGATTGGGGGTAACTATATTTATTCAAACAATGTGCAAGTAAGTTACAGAAATAATATTTTGCTGCAAATAAAGCTGCTGTAAAAAGCTGTGAGGCACAGCTATATGGCATACAATTATCAAAACAGTTGTATGCATACAGCTTTAGTATGTGTGGTAACTCTGGGTATCTATTCATTATTTTATATATGCTCTGCTTAGACTTTTCCACACAAACCTCCAGTGGTTCATGTATCATTTACTAGGGGGAGATGCCACTATATTCTGCACAGCAAAATAGCTGCGAAAAGAAAACATTTGAGAACACTGCATTACAGTATTAAGTTTTATATAAATAGCCATTATTATTTTGAAAATAAATGAACTTGATATACTGTTAGACAATATCTGATGAGATCATCAAATCTGGCAACATTAAAAAAATATTCCAGATATGAGGTCATGTAGCCTTTTGGGGAAATTAAAAGAAAAATAAAAAAAATTCTAGTAAATTTTCCTCTTTAAAATACCCATTAGTGAAATTATATAACAGCAATTAACACAACCCATAGCAAATTTGTTCCTTGGTAGTGAGTATAGAATTTTAGTAGCTTTAATTCAGACTGCATCTTTTAGAGATTAGTGAATTTTTTAGAGTAAATAATTCTAGGAATTCTGGAATTTGCAATATATGTTTTCATTTCTAGAAAGATTTTTAACAGCATCTTGGATGTTGCTGGAACTAAACTTTATTCTTTTTTACATGTTTTAATTACTTATTGCTTCAAGTTATAATAAAAACAAAGTTCATCCTTATCCTGCCTACTTATTCAGGACACTGATATCAAGCATCTAACATACTTCATGAAGCTACAAAATTTTCTTGACTACAAATAATTAAAGTACAGACTTAAAAGGGTACAAACATTAAAATATTTGGTGTAGTTTAAGTTGCTATTCAAAAACTACTAAAAACAGAAATGATAATATTAAGGAAGATATTTTAGGAAAAATAATGAATACAAAACATTTTTATGAAACAATTACTTATGATGGAAAAAACTACAAAATTCTTGCTAGTTAATTTATTAAGTACAGTCAAATACTGAAAATCCGCCAACCTGAAATGCACATTGCCTCTCAGAATATAAACATTAAGTTTATAGGTTCCGGAAACCACAACACTGAGTACGAAATGGAAATGAAAATCAAATGGAATCAAAATGGAAATACCAAATTATTGATAGATAAAAGAGTTAAAAAAATAAGATAAAATAAATAAGGTAAGTTTTCCCCCCCCCTCTAATCTGCATCGAGGTAAAGAAGCAGACGATTTACTCAACTCTTTGTTCAAGTTCACGATTCACGTTGTCGTATTTTCTGAGCTTTGTTATTTCATTTTCATGAGATTGTTTAGTGCTGCCTTTTTTTTTATCCAGATATTTTGTGGATAAATTAAGAATATTTTTAATTTCAGCCCTTTTTAATACAATGACAGATAAGAAACACACTCGTGATTTTAGTGCATGCAACGTTGAAAAACATAAACACGTTGCATTGACAGTAACACAAAAAGTGCAAATTCTGCAAAATATGGAAGCAGGTGCTACTCCTCGATTTATAGCAGAATGGTATGGAATTGCAACATAATTGTGTACGATATACGGAAAAATAAAGAAAAGCTGTTGAAATTTTACAGCAACAGTGATTCTAACATCGGAATCTGAAACTGGAAATCTTTGCATGAGGCAAAATCGGCAAACCTCGATGCTGTGTACATATAATACAATGAATAATATAATTAATGTATATATGTAATAATAATTTAATGCATATAATAAATTATTGCAATAATGTATATAATAATTTAATTAAATGTATCTAATACGCCTTATTCATTTTGCACTTTTAGTCTGAATATTATGCTTTATCTTTTCTATCTTGAAATCTGCAAAATCCTAAAATCCGCACAACCTCTGGTCCCTAGCTTTGCGGATTTCTGGAATTTTACAGCTTTGGAATGCAACACCACAATGGCCTTGACAAAGCATGCGAAGGTGGATACTGTTTCAGAGAAGTGCGAGGAGAAATTGGAGAGTGGGGTGTGTCAGCGGTGAAAGTAATGACTGCACAGTATTGGCTGGTGTTGTTTGAGTAAAACGTATTTTTTTAATTCTGTGTCTTCTGTTTTCGTTTACTTTTTGTAGTAGGTTCCAGGAATAAAGAAAGATATAACGGAAATTTCAAACCCATTTATCTTTTTTGAATTATTTTTTGATGAACTGCTCGTGCTTCATATTGTTACTGAAACTAACCGTTTTGTAGACGAGTATATGAACTAACACCTTGCAAAATGAAACATCAAGAACAAAATCGTGGCATTCCACCAGTTCAGAAGATATATATGTTTTTTAGGCATACTGATTTCACAAGATATAACACTGAAACCTGATATTACACTTTACTGGTCTAAAAATGAATTGATCGAAACTCCATTTTAGGGATCCTTTTTTTATAATAAAAACATCCTTTTTATTATACTTACATCTTTTTATTATACTTTTACTCAAAATATTAAATTTTGTGCATTCATTTTTTCTGTTATTCTTTATTTTGTGAAAGTAAACAGTTTTTAGAAAGTAAAACTTGAACTTATTTTCACCCTAATACATCGCATAACTATGCGCGCCTGTGTGAAAAATCGTGGCACTGGGAAATGAATCTTGTAAGTTTTCCACGGCAGTTAAGGGGTTAAAATCCATTGGGGTAAGATGTTATTTGCACAGTATTTTGTCAGGGAAAAGGCTTAAAAAACTATGAAACTTTTAGACATCTAACTGCTCTGCACCACTGGATTTTAAACATAGCTAAATTACCAGTACACCATGACTTTTTTGCTGCTGGACATATGGAACTAAACAAATAAATTATTTATTTTAATATACCTTATCATAAATATCAATATAAATTGAATATACTTACTGGGATCTACCAAGGCTATAGGGAGGGTCAGCTATGAAAAAACTGCTTAGAAGTGATAAGAAGATAAGAAATATTAAAGGCAGCATTTGCATCAGAAGAGTATAATTTGCTTGTCCCTAAAATAAAAATTTGCTAGAATAAGTATAAAAATGTTATTATAAAATAAAAAATAAATATGCAATAGAAAGGGAAAAAAACTTCACAAAGACCTAATGCACTTAAATTTAGCTAGAATACGAGTAACATTATTCCCTAATGTCAAAAAAATTCTTAGGACATAACATGGCATTTCAATTTGAATATTTTCAGCACTTAACTAAGCATCAAATCTTTATCATAAGAGAAAAAATTACATGCATGCTATTTGTTAAAATTTGTGAGTATAGCTAATATCACTTTCACGAAAAATGCGGTCTAATTGCAATGTTTTTAGTAAATTATTATTTTCATTTTTTTTTCTTTCTTTATTGGTTTGTTTTTAATCAACTTGCTATCTGATCCAGTAAGTGTAAAACAGATATCTACTCATGAAAATTATACCTTTACTTTTTAAAGTATGCTTTTTATACACACAGTGCAACTTGGATATGAAGGTTTAGATTACTGTGCTGAAGTATTCATCCTCCTCAAAAGTAACTAGAAACACTTTAAAAATATACAGCACATAGAATATAGGCAATATGACATTTAAAACAAGTGAGACAGTGGCATAATAAAAATTGTATCTTTTAATTGGTTTTTTCATTCAAGAAATTGACCATTGCTTGACACAGAGAAAATGTTCCAACACTATGGATCCAATCTACTAATGATGAAGTAAAACCAAGTTAGTCTGACGAATTCACTGATCCAAAAATTTGGGCAGAGTTAAGTGACATTTACTGAACTTTTGTGTCATCTAGAAAATTTTCACCAAATCTGGTAACTTTTCAGTATAGTTTATAAGATGGTTTTGCAAGTGTAGATGTCTTTTGAGTGAGCTTACCAGAAAATTCTTCAGTTTAATGGTCTTCAACTGACTAAAAACTCATGTAGCTAGAATATTTTACAATTTTAATAACATTTTTTGCATAATACAAATGAGAGGCTTGTAAAAATACCACAAAGCACTTACAGGAGTATACTTATAAACCATCATAACACACTTATAGGAGTACTTAAAAACAAAAACTGCTGCTAAACAATGTGATTTATCACCAATGATGGATAAGTAAGATAATATAATCTTAAGATCTCTGCCTTGGTTTTATGCAAACCCAATTAATTCTTGATAATTTGGTTTAGTTCTGTGAAGAAACATGTAAGTTAATTCCTATTTATCTATTTCCATCTTGTATTTTGAAAAAATTATTAAAATTTTATGCTTGAGCAAAGTGGAAAAGAAGAGTATATACAAAGCATACAATTACGTGAACTTGGCATCAAGGAAGATGTTTTTAGAGGGCACGATATGACCTCATTTGAAAATGGATAAACAATGGCAATTTAATGGGAAACATTATGAGAAGCAATTCAAGTTTTTTACATGCTATATGTGTAGTAACATGTATTTCTTGATTATCTTAACTAAATAAAGAGCAATCAGTTCCTTCAGACTTCTGCTGGAATAACTAGTAGAAGTTTGGCAGAATCTCTGGCAACTTTCATGTTTGATGAGATTATATAACTGGATAAGTTGTTTTATTTTCAGGTGTTTAAGGCCTATGAAAATACACCACCTTTTACGTCTGAAATGCACTTTTCCAAAAAATCTTATATAATGTTAGAACTAGGATAAATTTATTGAAATTTCACATATATGAAATTTTGAACTGAAATACTAAACTTGCTACAAAACAGACTGTTATGCATTTTGCCACACAATTGTTAAAAAAAAAAAAAAATCCTTTCTCAAAGTATTGGCTATAAAATTTCCACAACAGAAAAAAAAAAAAAAAAAGAAAACCTGTTTGTAACTAGATTTACTGATTGTCTTTTGGAATAAATACATTGCTGAAATGAAGAATATGCATGTAAGTAATATATAATTTCTTACAATGAACATAACTGTAATTCATTATCCGTGGAATTTCCAAAAATGTGCCAAGATGATTGCAATAATATGCAAGTACCCAAATCAACAAGAAATAAGGTGCTCTGCTTTTATAATTTTTATTTTAATACAACAAATTAGTTTCTAAAATTAGAAGAAGCACAAATTTAAACAAGTTTCCTGAAGTATTTCTCTGCTTAAGATTATTTCAGTAAATAATATTCAATATGCATAACAGTCTGTTTTGTAGCAAGTTTAATATTTCAGTTCAAAATTTCATATATGTGAAATTTCAATAAATTTACTGTGCACAAGTATGTTAAAAAATACTAACATCTTGCCGAGAATGATGATTTTCCCTTGTTGGAAATCTCCTTTGTGATCTTCTTGTATAGGAATTAGCTGCAAAAATAATAAACTATATGTAAGAGCAAATAAGCATTTCTTTCAAAAAGAAACAATCATAATTAAAAATAAATTGCACTTTTTATTATTAAATCTCGTTAAAAAGAAACCATTTAAGAACTTTTTCAATTATAATGTCTTTCAAAGAAAAATTAAGTGACATTTTGCTTTCTATATAATTGGAAACAATTCACAACATTATCTCCTGCTTTTGTTTTCCTCTAGAATTTTTGACAATCATCTAGCTTTAAAAACAATTAAAATTGAGTTCATCAATTAAACTGAAGTTATCACCATGACCTCTTGCAGAGACTACTTTGTACGATTAAAAAAGTTTAAAATTTAACATAGTTTTTCAGCATTAGTTTAAAATACTGAAGCACAGCCAATTATAAAGTAATTTAATTATATAGGAAAAATCACCTTATACTGCAGGTATTAGAGGATATTGCCAATACTTGTGCTATAAATTAACCCCATTATAGCGAATTAAGTGAATTCATCAGAATGTGGTACAATAATGCTCATTCATACAGGTCCATATATACTGGATGGTACATTTTTAACACCCTGTTGGCAAAGTAGTCAAAATGGAATTTATCTAATTAAATGATTTAGTTTTCTCTAATCTACTACAATACACCATTTAAATAAAATTTATTTACATCTGATATATTTTTTTTTGGGGGGGGGACTGCTGAGTTTGGTCTGCCAGAACTGCTAAGATTATTCATTCATTGGAGTTTGGTCTGTCAGAATCGCTAAGATTATTTATTCATTGAGAATTATTTAAATGGCATTAGATGCTACACACAAAAGTGTCCATAGCTCAAAAAATAAAGAAGTCAGTACCTAAACTAAACTTCAAGATTTCAAGAAATTAATACTATAAAATAATGTGGAGAGACATGACTGTTACCATGATATCCAAATCTGTGATATAATGGGTAAAACTCTACAACAATGCACTTTTGCCAAGTCAATAACTGAAGCTTTTAGAAACACTGCTATAAACCATCATGCCACTTATCTAGGAATGATTCCTTTACTTTATTTAGCAATACAATCGCATGTCCTTGCAGACTTTGTTACTTGGTTGAAAAAAACAAATATGGCAAAGGAATCAGAAAACTTGGGCATACAGGTGATATATGAAAGCATCTTAGAACCATTTCAGGTAAGGAAATCCTTGTGACCAATGTATAGGCAAATTATTATGAAGGTACTCCTGTTCATTTTGTTACACTTAGATTATCATGATGGATGGCAGGATGTATTCACAATGTAATATTAATCACATATTTTTGCATCATATTTGGATATAAGTCCCCAAACCTTTGATTCTATAATATAGTTAAACTGTATTAAAACATTAAATTCATAACTTGCTTTTAGAGTTAAATGACCGCATATCACAAATGCTATATAATGTGTTACAAATTACAAAGAAATTTCTTTCAACCAAATTTCACTTAACTGAAACAATAAAGAAAACAATTTAAAAAAAATAACTTAATTATAATGATTCAATAAATAGAAAACCAGCCATCTCCAATTCTTTTAAATCATTTCCCCCTAATCTTTAGATGCAAATACATATTTTAGAATGAAAATATTCAGTGTATTGAATGCAGAAACAGCAAAATGTAACTTCTTCCCAGCAGAAACCTTTTACATAAACTGTCATTAAATGAAGGCACACTACTGCTGCTTGTAAGCATTGCAAGGAAAACTAAAAAGAAAATATTATATACCCACTCATTATTTTAAATAATATATAGTCTGCCAAAAAATGTATGCACCCTTTAATAAACAAAAACTTTGTGACATATATTAATACTAAATTTAATAAATTAGAACAATGCTTAACCTTCACTATTACAGAAGGTGCTCAAAGTGATGGCTGTTGATGGTCAGACACTGAGTACTATGACAAACTGTCACTCAGAATGCTTGTTTTCAAAATGCTTGTCACTTGTTTTCCTTCATGTACATGCTGTTTTACTTCTTCAGTAAAATCTGTCACTGCAGCAGTTTCCTGCAATACATGATATATTTTACAGTCTCCCACATGTTAAAGTTTAAAATTTAAATCGGATGAACTCTATTTGGAACCCAAATGCACCTCTCGGCCCATCCAAGGCGATCGAAATTCTCATCCAAATAATAATACTTGTACTACTTGCTACCTCCTGTCTTATATGTATACTATGCAGATTTCTGTGGTGAGCATGTAAACGTTTCTGCACCACAGCGGATGAAGTACAACTCATTGCTGTGCGAGGTATGTTGGATCTTTCCATGCACACATATCACATACAGTACTACATATCTTAAACTTATCACTAAGATGTGTACTGGTTAGTCACACTAGAAGTTGTATTGCAAACACATGCCATTATTTACATAACAGTTTGACAACATTCTCAAACGTAAAATCTTACCATAAAATGCAGTTATACTCCTTAAATGAACACCACACAGCAGCTATTTTGATTCATTGCCTTATATCACATATTCATTCCACAATCATGTAAATAATGGCTTGTGTAGGCAGGGCAAACTAAACTACACACTGTAATCATCATTTGATCCATCTTCTGAGAAAGTTCACAAATATCATCTATTAAAGAGTATATACATTCCCCTCCCCCAGATTCAGTAAAACTGTGTAAATGTATTGCAATAGATATTCTATTTAACAACTTTATGCATATTTATTTCTAGTTTTAAGTAGCAAAAACAGCTTTCATGATTAATATACAAAATAATAATAAAAACTGACTTTGTACCCTTTAGTGAGGAAAAATAAAGCTTTACTGCACATTTTAAGCATTACTTCAATACACTCTCTACAAATTTATTCTAAGAAATCCCTAACTTTTGTAAATATATTTATATTTAAGATAAAAAAATAGGTAAGAAAATACTAATATTGTTTAATCATCCAATAACAATTTTAAATTATCTAAACTAAAACAACTAATCAATGGAAACCATAACTGAATCAGTCTTAACAAAACTTTGTTTGCAAAATATCTATTGACTCTCTGTTTTTATCTCTTGTTAGATTGCTGTTGCTGCTTCTCTTTCTAAATTGCTAATAAATCATAAAAATGTAAAATTTTGTTAAAGAACAAGCACATGTCTTGTGCCAACTTAACCATGTGTGTCAAGAAATATAATGTGTTTCTATAAAATATGTGTCCCACCAGTATCTTAGTTCTTCAAAAATTAGCATTCATTGTTAACATCAACAACATCTAAATCATCACATAACTGACACAATACAGTTAAGTAGCAATTGGCCTATTTTTTACTATTTTTTCTAACAGCAAAAGATAACAAACATATTAATAAATCATGCAATTTAAAAGGAGAAGTATACCTGACATTCCAGCCGGGAAGCCACCACCAAAAAACATATTAAATAATTCTTCAGCAGATATATCACCTAAAAATGAAATCAAGGAAAAAAGTTAAAATGCAAGGATTCTGAATATATTTCATTAATGTTTAAAACATTTATTAGTTTCTTCAAATGCAAGAAATTGAAAGACTTGCTTTCGAATCCCCTAGTGTATTCATAATAGCCAGAATGGCGTTGAAATGAAGATCTTTTGCAGTTCTTATTTTCAGCCGAGCCAAATGCATCATACTGTTTCCGCTTTTCTGGATCACTTAAAACAGCAAATGCATTTCCAATAGCTAATAAATAAATAAAAATATTATAAATACAATTGAAATTTTATTAATAGATTTTTAAAGTTACTTTATTTCAGTTTAAAGGTTATCTTATTTAAAAGTCATCACACCTAAAAATACAAATATACTTACTTCTATGGAATATAGAAATATTTATAAACTTTGTCAGAAATTTTCTAAATATGAATAATTATTTCAAGATATTAGAACACAAGATTATTTCATTTGCATTGCATAAAATTTACAGTTTAAAATTAATTTTATTACAGACATATTGATTTACAGATATGGTAAACATTATTTAAATGAAGTATGTTTAGGGAAAATAATTATTATATACATATATAGCAACTATTACAGATACGATAGGTTTCAAAGAACTAAATTTACAAATCTATCAGTGCCTCACAAGTGTAGTTCATGACCATGGAATTCCAAATTTGACCATAACTCTGTATAATTACAAGAATTTGAAATGAATGAGATTTCAAATTACCTAACTTACACATCTCATACACATGTAGGAAAACCAGAGATTGAGCTATAGTATGCCTATTGCACACATATTTAGATATCGCCATTTGCAAGAATACCAGATGGCATTTACCACTAATTACAGTAGCAAGTCATTTTGACTGCAAGTGAAATTAGCCTGCTTTTACTTTTTTAAAACATTTTTCAAATTTTTCTAAATTTGCATTTGTGTAGAATAACTGTTTTTTCCCCATTTCTGCTTCTTTTCTTTTTTTCCTTCCTTCTTTCTTTCTTCTTTCTTTCTTTCTTTCTTTCTTTCTTTTTTATTTTTTATTTTGCTTACTCAGAGTTGCAGCTGCCATTTTGATGATTCTAATAACTTTCCTTTTGCCTATTTTTAGCTTTTGAATCAACTTTTGTATCATTATGCATGAAGAAACTTATTCTTCAGGTAGTTGGTTCTGAGGAAATTGGAAGAAGAGTTAAATACATCTGCACCAGAGTTCATCTACAAACTACCCTTTTACATTTTTTTTTTTTTTTTTTTTTTTTTTTTGTATCAGCTTGAATTTTTCCAAGTACTAGTAGAAGTGCCATTTTGTACTGAAAGGGTGTTGATGAGTTTTTTGTCTTAATCGGAGCCCAAGCTTCTGTGATGTAGAGGGAGTACCCATGTGATAGGCTATGTTATATAACTAGAGTTGCTGGTGCGAGCGTCAGAAAATGGACTGTAAAAAAAGGGCTGACTGAAAACATGAGTTATTAGGCTTATAATTATGTGTGAGTGTCTGTGTGATTAGGGCAAAGCCTCAAGGGCTATCTGCCTAAGGGGAGGAATGCCTTCATGGAGGATATTCTAAGGGAAACTGGCTCGTATAGACGGAAAACCACGAAAATGTCCACGCATCCAGCTTGTTCGCAGGATTCAAACCTAGGACCAAACTACCAGCGTTCGGCGACTTTACCGCTCAGCCGCTGGTGGGCCAGACTTATAATTATGACTCTGATGTATTGTGAGATTAATAAAAGACAATTACAGTCCACTTGAGAAATTGAATTATCATAGTTACTGCATGATGAAACAATCTTTAAATAAATATGCCACATACAGCAATAGAAAAAAATATTTAGCAGATGAAGAAATTTTTAAAGTTTTACATTTATCAGATGACCACTTTGATTTGAAAACTAGTTCTGATAAAGCAGCTTATTCATCAAATGATAACTAGATTGTTCCATCTATCAAAATTAGTCTGAATAATTATATTCTCCTTTTTACACCCTGTACAAAATCAATATAACACTATACCACTTGTTTCTGAGAGTGAACAAGAAATTTTTTCATAATCAAAAATGAAACTGACACGCAAGAAATGTATCAAAGACAAGAGAAGATATTAGTTATACTCTGTGTGGAAGATGACAAAAATGCACCCATATGTCAAGAAAAACCCAAAGATATAAATGTGATGAAAATCAAAGTAGAGATGTGGAAACCACATATAATGGTTTTATATGAGAAAGGAGAACTCTAGGCAAATGCTTCAAGAAAACTTCCATATTAAACTAGCTTGAGAAACAGGACTAACTTCTTATGTAATGAGAAAAGTAACTGATGAAAACTCATGCATTGTGTGGAATGGGGGGGGAGAGGAAACTGCATCACATACTACAGCAGTGCACAGAAACTGAGGTATATGAAAAAACATGAAAACCAGTTTGGTCCTTTCACTTGATCAGTTATTTGCTTCTAATTTCCCTTTGTATGAACACAAACCATCAGCTGTCATAAACCTCAGTCTGTTTTAAATTTATGGTCTCAAACATGAGGCATTAGTGTTTCAGCTAGTTCTGAATGATTACAAATTAATTAATTTACTCATTTCAGAGATAGGGATATTTTTATCAAAAGCTGTTTGTTACATTACAAATATGAAGAAAATATTACAGTTAATAAACAACTATACCCCATAAAAATATGGTGTCAATTTATTCAATACATGCTTAAAAACTCGGATAAAGTTCATAAAATTTCGGCTTGAAAGCAATGTTAAGTCAATATACTTATGTCATAGCTATCTATATTTCGACAAACATGAAACCAGATCCAGTTAAAAAACTGTGGATAAACATGCAGTTTATTTGACGAAGCGATGTTATATGACTGGAAGAAATGTCATGATGAACTACATTTACTTCAATGACTGTAACAATGAATGAAGTCTGGGAACTCAAGAATTTAATTCTATCAGAACAATCAATTGTGCAAAAACAGAAGTCATTTTCTCTTCAAAAATACATCAAAAGAGATGTATTATAGAAAGTTTGTCAAACATGACAATATTAGCCTTTGATACTATTAAAGGAAGAAAATAAAAACATTTTATTTCTCAGTTTATTTTGCTCAACATTAGAAGTCTTGCTAAAAGGGAAAAAATAATGGTTGCAGTAAATTTTTACAACTTAATAAATACTGTAAAATTATAATTATGTCAGATACATATTCATTTTACCATTATGTAACTGAATGCAAAAAATCATGTGTTTAAAATGGCAGTTTTTCACACTTATAATGTGCACATTCGCACATATTTACAGAAGAAATATGGTATTAAATACATGCACCTATGAAAACAGATGTAGATTTTATGAAATATGCTTATGAATATGCTTGAATAAATGCAGTAGTAAATTAAATAAGAAAATACTTGATTTACACAGTCTTTTTTTCGGCCAAAAATGCATGTTATTACCCAGTAAAAAGTACAAGAAATTTACACGAATTTTTAAAAATGACATATATATGCCAAGTAAAAAAATAGGGAAATTGATGTAAATTTCTAAGAAAAGTAAACATTTATGGTAGGTAAAAAAATATGATGATTCACATAAATTTTTACCAAATATATATGTAAAATGTTTAAATTTACATATATTATACATAAACGCTATGAATAAAGCACGATCATTCCCATGAACATACCTAAATTTTACATACAGCATAAGTACATCATAATGTAAAAATATACAGAAATGTCTGCTGTTTTTTCCAGATGTATTATTGATATTTTCATGCTCATGTTTCATGTTTTTTATACGAAAAACAATTCATAAATTACACGTAGTTTTACATACAATTTATGAATACATGCTGCCTGGGTGGTAACAAGTTTTTTTATCATTACCTGAATGGAATCATGACATACATGAACCAAAAATCTCTCATGATGCACACGAAAAAAAAAAGGAAAGTCTGTAACTGTAATGTCTAATAGTAATTTTTTAAGTGTACACTAAAAACTGGAATGCCATGTAACTAATTAATAAAGTGTAATTTTAAAATCAGGTTATTCCTCAAAATGAAATGTTGTAAGTAAAGATGTAAAACTCCTCATTTAAGTATTGAAGAATATTATGGAATTGCTGCCAGTTATTTAAATTAATTACTATACATGATTAGCATTGCAATTCATTATTGAAAAATGTAGATAGATATTGTAAGGTGACCGAGTTACAATTAAAATCTTCAGAACTAGCTACTTACCTCTGCTATTGTAACGTTATGCTAATCTAGAACTAATAAATACCCAAAAATAATGCATTAGTGAATGGTGGTCTACCATTGTTTTACCTAGAATGTACTAAGAAACATGGAGCTTGATGTTTGAACCCAGGGTTTTATTTTCAATTAGAGAATGCAATATCCTAGATTAGTTTTTGATGAAGTTTCTTAAAGGACTATTGCATTCATTCTTTTACTGGTGGATGACAATGAAATTAATAATGAGTGTGGGATATTCATTTAGATTTTAATATATGGTATTTGAACATTTAACCCTTTGTTGCAAACAAATAATCTAGAGAAGTTAAAAGAAAATGTTTGTATTTTTTCTACTTAAATAACCTTAGTAATAATAATAAAAAAAATTATTTTATTCAAATTTTGTTTTAAATAATTGCTACAGTTTGTTCACTACAGTGGACAGCATGCATAGATACGTACATGCATACAAATCTCTTCCCAACGATTTACGGTCATTGCATTTGAAATCATTTCCTGCCTTGTTTGCAGTGATCATTACCATCTTCTAAATGGTAAATCTACAACTGACATGTACATACAGATCCCCCAAAAGACCTTCATTTCGTCGATTGTGATTGAATTCATTTTGCTATTTTTGTAACCTGTACTTATTGGATTCAAATGTCAAATGTTCTAGAAATTCCTTGCCAAACAAACATTTCCAGTGGTGTTTTGGCTTGATAAGCAGTACATTTGGGTTTCAATTCACTCTTTTCGATCGATCTTTATCTACCCACTCCACAATTTTCTTAGACTGACATTTAAAATAAAATTACTAATTATGAATAAAAAATGGCAGTATAAGAAAATGTAAACAATATTATATAATATTTACTACGAGAAATTGTACTAACTTGGAAACAGAAGTAGCAGCCATTTTCCAAATAGCAATGCTTTACTTAGTGATGCTATACAGCCATCTATGATCGATAGTTGAAAGTTCTAATAATATAGAAGGAATAAACACAGGAATGGAATCTGTTAAGGCATTTACAGAAGAATACACAAATTTAAACTTTTGTCTGCTAAAGTGGGCATGATGCAACAAAGGGTTAAGAATGATTTACTGAATTTTATGGGCAGAAAATCATTCTCTGTTTTCTTGAGATATTTTGTGTTTGCATTTCAATGAAATGAATTTGTAACTATCTCTGAAGTTTAGGAATTATTGTGCATTGGGAATTAGTGTGATTTACGTGTTTTCAAGAAAATCAGAAAAGGAAATTTAACATAAAGCATTTATCATGAGATATAGCATATTTTTAGATTTTGGAAATGAAATGCAATTTATTACTGAAAAGCATACATGTTTAGAATGTTACGCCAAGTGATGGAAGAATGTGTTTCAGTATACTTTTAAAATATTGAACTAATGAGCTTAAATTTGAATAAATTTAATTTGCTTTACCAAGGTATGTATTTAAATAATTTTTGTTATATATCAATCATCCAGTTTACAAAGTTAGATTTACCTTCGGCATCAATATATTAGTTAACAGAATGTTTCTATTATCATAAAATAAAATTAATATTAATATTTTCTATGTAACAAAACCAATATATATTAATTTAATATTCAATTAAATATAGATTGCTTCTGAAAGCAATTTCTCTACAGAATTTCAAAATAATATACAGAAAGTAATTTAAAAAACGAATTAATCTTAGCATACACTACAGAATATGAATCAAAACCGGAATTTTCATTTTCCAGTTGCTACTTGTGATTCTCAGACAGATGACATACATTTAAAAGATAAGTCAAATATAACATTTTTTGGGTAAAAAGGAAAATTAGATAATTTATGTTGATTTTGATAATTTTTGTGTTGAATAGATGAATAAGCATACCCTTGAATGCTTCTGTAGCACCTGGAGCTTTATTCTTATCAGGGTGGAATTGCAGAGCTAACTTCCTATACTGTTTCTTGATATCTGATTCACCTGCATCTTTAGACACACCCAGAATTTCATAAAAATCTTTACATTTTTTTATTCTGAAAAAGACACATTGAGCAATAATTTAGTAACTCACATTAAAAAGAAATAAAAACATTAAGATTAAATTTTAAGATAAATGCACAATCATGACATAAGAGATAATATTAATATATGTACCAATATGCCAAAGCTAAGAGTAACAAACAACATCTGTAAAAATTAGTATTTTCCTAATATACAAATATAATAATAATAAAATTTAGAAACTTTCTTCTAAAAAATCAGTGTGCTTCTTTTATCAATAACAGATCAAACAAACTTAAAATACATAAAAGTGCATATGCTATTAAAAAGAGGCTTTGGGACTTGTTCAAGTCATTTTCTTCAGATATAGTCTATTCTTACACATTGTGTTTTTTTAATATATAGCATTCAGCTTCTCCATATTTATCTCATACAATAACAATGAGGTTAGGTTTTTCGAATACAGCCTAACCTTAATTAAGTGCAGCTATGAGTAGTAAAAATATTAAAAACATAAATATTTCCTAATAAACAATAAATAAAGATTCCACTAAAGCCTATGCAAACATGCAACAATTTACCTACACGAATATTTGATAATCTTCTAAATGTATATCACTTTCAAGATAATTTATGACTGTCTACAACAGCATATATATATTTTTTTTAACAATTACCTTTATAACCATGTTCACCAGCTGCATAAGAAAGGGTAGAAAATATGCCACTACATGTATTCCCTAAAGCCGTCTGCATGAAAAATGTTTTCCTACCTCCTCAGACATCACAGGTGTTTTCACAACTTCTGAAGAAAATATCTCTCGAAGTCCTCCCCCCCCTTAAAAAAATTAATCTCTCTAAATTATCATGCTTTCTTGTTCTTTCTACTTTTTAAAATAAAATTTTAACCAAAGCGTATAAAAGAGAAAGTTTTAATTCATATACCTTCATACATAACATTTTACTCAACAGAAATAATGTTTTAAGATTTTATATATGAATATGTGTAGAGATTATAAAGTGAATTTTATAAGCAAAACTTTTCTGATTCAAGCAAGCTTTTGCAAGTGATTCTGAATTTTTTTACTACATTTTTTTTTAGAATATAAATAATATTTATACAGATTGAGAGGATGAATAAAAATAAAATAGCCTGTGGAAGACAATATTTGAATAATTTGCATTTCAAAATGAATATGAACTTTTATCACATGTAGAATTTTCTCAATTTTATGATTTTATTGTTTTGCAAGTTTGTTTTCACCTGATGTTATCCTGTTTTAATTCTTTGGCCTAGATGCTGCAGAAAGTTCTTAGAAAGATATTTGGTAAATAAATCTAGTAAATAGTGATGTAAATGAATAGAAATAAATAACAATGCATTAATAAATGAAATCATTAAAACTTATATAAAAAATACATAATAATAATAAATATATTCTGATTATCCACAACCCTCCTTCCTGAAAAGTTGCTAAATGGAAAATAATTTTTTTTTTCCAAACTAACAAGCGAGTGAGAGGCGTGCATCAACCAATCAGTTAGAGGCGCACATCACCTGTTGTGTTTTATGTCACATCTCTCTATCTCTCTCACCTCACAGTCTCTTTTGGCGGGTGTTGTTGGAGTAGCAATGCTCCCGGTATGAGTCTCATTCCTGTGTGCTTAATAAAATATATTTTTATATAAATAAATATATTTTCATTTGTATCCAGGAGCCAGGAAAACCAATAAGCACCTTTAATAGTGACCACCTTTGATGGTAACAACCTTCATCAGTGACCCAGATGTTACGTGCGCTTCTTGCTGATGCGTGCCTCTCGATCGCAAGATGAAATGCTACATACTAAAAACATACTGGAATATAAATTAACAATAATCTTTATTTCAAAAATAGTGCTTTCATAAAATAATAACACACATACATTGGCAATAATATATTTATTTAAAATGGTTGACAATTGTTGTCAATGATGTTTATAAAAATGATGATGTTTGGTATCAATTTGGAATATAAAATAACACTATATAGGCACATTTCTCATTTAGCTTTAGCAAATTTGTCAGTTAGCAATTTATAATCTAATAGCCAAACAACATCGTTTTCAATAAACATCATTAACAACTGATTTAAATGCAATTCAGATAAGGAATTTCTGAAGTCCCTTGAGAACTGAAAATGATTGTTCGCCACTTATGTTGCAAATACAATTTGTCAAAAATATTTTTAGAATTCTTTTCATATTTGGAAATGTAGATTGCAAACCTGCAATTAATTATTTGTACATATCAATGAACTGGAAGTTGATCTGTCAACTCTATCCTCATCTTCAGGGCAGATGTTTTTATTTTATTCGGCTTATAATTCCTTACTAAATGTAGTATTTCATCTCGATGTACTCCGTCTTTGATATGATTTAAATCAAATTCCTCATCATTATAAATATCACGAATACACATCAAATAGTTTTCTGGTTGCAATTTTCTAATTTCGACTACGAGTAATGTATGCGTGCGTTGAAAGAAATGTTTAATAAAGTAAACAAATAAATATTAAGCTTTTTTTGTAAATTTTGACACCCTTTAGATCATAATTGTTCTTTATTTCATAAATTACGGTTGCATATTTATAATTTTATAATTTCTGCATGCCATCTTACCAAATTTAAATTGATCATCTATAATCCGGGAAAAACCCTAATCCGGAATCACCGAAGTCCCGATGAGTCCGGATTAAAGACTTTGTACTGAATCTATCAATAAATCTCTCAAAATTCCAGAAGCATTCCATCTAAATCAGAATCATAATTCTCAATATTAATAAAACCAAAAAATAATTCTTTTATATTTCCATTTTTGTCAATAAATCTCAAAAAAGATATTAATTTTATATGAAGGAGCATCTACAATAATGGAAAAATTAGCTGCTTCTCGAACTTCAGAAATTAAATATTTGATTTTATCACCCATTAAATTTATAAACTTGTCACATATTGCATGCAATAAATAATTTACCTATCCACTACTGGATTGCTAAATTTTTGCAAATGTATTTGCAAAATGCTATTGATTTCTGCTAGATACTCATTACAACTTTAAAAAATCCAGCAAAATTTATCCAGTGAATTTCTTTACCGTTGTGCATATTGTTATTCTTCTTTTGATCTTTTGTGCTTCCTTGAGCTTATTCACAAACCTTCTTTTCATGAATAAATATATAAATTATTAAAGAATAATTATTGTTTATGCATTTAGAATGAAAAGTGAAACTTTAAGATACTTGGATTTACTTCCGAAGAACTTAAAAGTCACTTTTTATTCAAGAAACAAGTTTTCTTTCAGACTGGTTACGAAGTAAATTACAGTAATTATTAAGAAAAATTTTTAGTAAACTGTAGGAATATGAGTTGATACAAGTAAGTTATAACATAGTGTACTCTGAAAATGCTTAGATATAACTTTTAATTTTTATATTATACAGGCTGGCTATAATCATCTAGTTTGCAATTTTAGTTTCAGGTAAAATACTCAAAAAAGTCATTTGAAGACTTACTTAAGATATATGCTCAAATACAAAAAATTGAATAGATAATCAAATGTTGTTAAAGAAACAAAAAATAAACAACGGACAATCAACCCAATTTCTTAAATTTAAATTTTAAACAACTTTTTCAAGCAACTTTTTTGTGTATTTTTATAATGAAAGGTACCTACCTTACTTAAAACTGAAAATAGAAATTTGATTATATATACCCAGTATAAGACCTAAGACCCTAAAGTTCCACTTTTCATTTGATAAATAGTCCTAAAAATGTAATATTAGCAATCATTATAAAATAAGCAATAATTTATGACCAATATTGGATGACAATTCCTAAGAACATGAAAAATTAAAAGAAATTTATTGATTTTACAATTATTATTTTTGGGGAATAGGCAAATAAAGTTAATGGCAGTTTTTCCTAAAGTGTGTGAAATTGCGAGATTTGGAATTTGATTTTCTGTGAGGAGATTTATAAGGTATTGTATTTCTTTTTGAAGATAATCTGTTTCATTGCAGACTTTTTTTATTCTAAGAATTTAAATTACTTGTATAATAGTATTAATTATAATTTTCTTGAAGATGTTGGAATTCCAACTGATGAGTTTAATAGCATGAAAATTGAAATCTCTTCTTTATCATGGATTCTAACACATTTGTAGCTTAAAATTTGTAAGCTTTGTAGTTAAATATATATATATATATATATATATATCCAGTTACTTATAAAGGGGCAACTAATGAAAAATAGAATTAACTCATATCAATAGTATGATGTACAGCACAAAACATGACAGTAGTTCCTTTTTATACTTCTCTCAAGACATTATTAATTACTGCCTTTTATTTATTTTTAATACTTATTTTCTACAACTATGCTATACAAATTGATAACTTATAAGTCCTCTTTTACCTATATTCGCTAACAAATTTAATAAGTTCTCATTATTTAAGTGTTTTCATTTAAACCTTATTCATATAAATAATGAATAAAATCCAGCTAGATATTAACACTTACAAATATTTTTAGTAGAGAATGGTATTAAATAAAGTTCACTTTATTAAATTACGAACCAATCATTAAAAATAATTCTTTATGAGATTATTAATGCATTTAAGGTATAGAACACATAAAAATTTCATTTTATTATTGCATTTTACAAACATTGTAGTTCAAGCATGTAGATTTAAGAGAATTTTAGTTAAATTTATTATTTAGTGCCAATCCTCTCAATTTTTTAATTTACTGACGAGTAAAAAAACCAATTACTTCTGTACTGCTTCTAGCTGATCTTCAGTATAATCTTCTGCAGGCTTTGCTGTTGCTGTTCTTCTCCTAGCTGAAGAACTTCTCGCTCGAGTTTGTGTTCGATCATAACTGGAACTCCTTTCTCTTGAGGCATGACTATTGTCTCCAGCAGAGTCACTTAACTTTTCCAAGAGTTCGATCAAATCTAATTAATATAAAAAATCTGAACCTTAAAAATTCAGAAAAAGAATAACAATAATGAAAACATTCAATATGTGAGTACACATATAATTAATATATAATGTGGTATAAATTAAAATAATACATTTAAAATCCATCATATATTCAAATCAGAACAAACCAAATGCCCCCCCCCCAAAAAAAAAAGGCACAGAAGCAAACTGCATGAAAGATGCAAAAACTGTCAAAACCAAATATGAAAAAGAAAACTTACACCCTTAGTTACATCATCATCAGAGGGGTTGGTGCAATGAAAGGAGTAAACCAACAAAGACACAAATTAAAATTTAATACTTAAATAAGTTAATAAGTAATTTGTGTCTATATCCGTCCAACCCTTACATAGCAAAACTACAGCATCTGTGCTTCTTGTTTTTGTATTTGGTTTGTTCCAAGTTGAATATGTGATGAATTTTAAACCTTTTATTTTATGTTATTACTACCACTTGCTGATCTCAGTGTACAACGGGATTAGGTTTGAACTGCTTTTTACTTTGTATTAACCCATTTTTATAATTAATATATATATTTAATTCCAAATGATTAACTTATATAGACATAATGAAACTCCAACTCTTAACCCCCCCCCCAAAAAAAAACAGCAATCACTTTGAAAAACTTTTAATTGTATTTATTCAGTTACTTGCAAAAAAATGTAGGTTTAGTTATATGAGCCAAACTCTGAGGAAACTCTGCACTTTTTGCACAAAACTTTTTAATGCACACATAAAATATTTAATATTTAACAAAGAATAGGGTAACACAGAAAATTAACTCATATTTATGCTACTCATGGGAAAACTCATCAAAACAACAATACAATTAGCTACTCTAGCACCAGAATTTGAACATGAGCCAAAATTGCTTGGGTTCAATAGTTAAAACCTCTCAGCCACTCACAAGGCTATTTTTAAGCAAGTCGATCTTTCACTTCTCCTCGAGTTCATGCTAAAAAAAGAATTTTCTTATTTCTTTTATGCTTATTGTAAGCAGATAAACATATAACACAGTATTAATTTTTCATTATACATAATTTTTTTTTTATTGCAGAGATCTTGTTTTTTCATTCAGTGTTTAAAAAATATGTTAGAAATGAGCTAACAAAATGCACATCATGGATTCTCACACATGGCATTTGATTTAAAAAAAAAGTAGATATAATAAAAATATGAATTTATTGAACAAAACTGATAACAAGATTACACTTTAAAATAACACTGATCATAGTTAAATGCAATCATTTTTAAGTAATAAAATCTTTTCTTGAAAATTCATGTTTCCAAGTTTTATAACAAATTCTGTAATTATGCAACAGTACACCTATGTATGTTTATTGAAAATAATTTAATTAACTTTCTTATTCTACAACTTGATTAGTATTAGTACTTGATATATTTTCATACATGTTTTTTCAGCATGTTCCTACTAATGAGTTTGACACATTCACAAGTGTCAATTTTCATAAAGGTATTTATATTTTTCTAGCTTCTTATTAAAAAACAGGAGCTGTTAAATGCATTCAATCACATCAGAGAATTGTTATTAGATTAATTAATAATATAAATATTTGTAAGGTTTATGTTAATTAACCCACTATTTTATCTATATTATCACCTTTACTTTTGTCAGCTCTCACCAGGATAAAAATTAAATTTTATGTATAAGTACAGAGCTCTTGAAAATTTAGAAAGAATTTTAGAAGTTAACACTAACCTATGAAACATTTCCTTTTCCAGTTCCGAAAATTACTTTACACTGGCATTAGCCTATTTTTAGCTGATTTTCCTTGCACAATAAGAAACAGCTTGTTAGGATTTCGTTTTGTTAATTTTCAGTGTTTATTTACTTGAAAAAACTTTAATTTACATTTTCTGTTTGTTAAAATTCTGCAATTGGCAGCGATTGTTTTGTAAGCATGAGCTGTGCAAACTGCTAAGACTGAAGTTTTAATAAAAAGGTTATTTAAAGCATCTCCTCAGCTGGAGCTGACTTCCTAGATGAGGCAATAAGTTGAATATCAGTCTCGAATAGGATCGAAGTTCAGTTCAATAAGAGAGTGGTTCCCTATATGTTACATGAGAAGGTATAAATATATTTAAGGGTTGCCCCCTTGGCGAAATTTGGCAATTGGCCAGGAAGGCATAATTTCAAGATGGCCACTACACAAAACCAAAATAACAAATCAAAGAATTGCACAAACTCAGTGTCCATGTACACATCGATCCATTTTCACTTTAAAAAAAATCAGAGAGTTGCACAAACTTGGCATTGGGTTCTGACTTGACTTTGTCCATGTACACATCGATCTATTTTCATTTAAAAAATTGAAGAAGCATCCAATTCTTACACTAGAGCCAAACGAAAAATATATAATCTCAATAAACTGCATTTTATATCAAACAATGAAACAACATAAAAAGGAAATACATCTTATCACATCTAAGCACTACACAAAGGAAATATCCACTTACCTTTAGAAATTTCTGCGTCTTCAGTCTGTGGCACACAAAATTCCTTAACAGCATCCAAAAACTTTCCTCAAAACATGTTCCCTTTCTAATGGAACACTTTATATGGTAAGCATTTGAACCTTTCTTGTGACAAACCCATTTAAAGCCATCTGAACCACCTTTACGTTCCACCATACGCATTTCCTTCGTATAAACAGGACACTTATAATTCCATTGAATTACATCCAACAAAGTTTCTTTTCTTCTGTCATCAACCACGTCCCACCGCCCCCCCCAAAAAAAACACCTTCCACTCTCTCATTCTATACCACCAAACACTCAGTTTACCACTGGCAGCCATTTTTATGATGCAAAGCACACAATATACAATGTACTTCCTGACATCCAATGCAGAAATAAGCTCTTACAAATATTTTCCCATCAGCAAATTCACCACAATCAAACAACTAATCAGATCATAATAGTGTTTCCATAACATTCAACTACTCAGGTTACCATAAATAAAACAATTTGGTGATAATCTACCCTAAAATATAGGCTAACCTACCAAGATTGAAAATACAGTAGACTGCTTAACGTGATCATATTTAATGCTTTAATTTGGATATTAGTATTGAAGCCTTATCCATTTATACACAAAAAGAAAATAAATTGCTCATTGTGATCAGTTAATATGATTAAAATTTTATGGAATAATTTTTTTTTTTTTTTTTTTTTTTTAACTGAAATAAAGTCATCAAACAAAAGACAAAATTACCAAATAAGGTAAAAAAAAGATCATAAAAACTGGTAAATAACATAGAAATATCACAAAGTCACCAGATATCATAGTTTCCATTTTAATCAATTAGGCAAAAAAGCAAAGTTAATTTGGTATCAATTTTGAATGTGATCAGATATGTTTTACTTTATGAGCAAAATAATTTCTGCAGACGTTTTTACGGTCAGAGTAGATTGAAGGGTGCCCTCTTGTGTTATCACAAAGTTGTTGTTTAATTTATGGTAACCCGAGTAGTTAAATGTTATGGAAACCCTATTATGATGTAATTGGTTGCTCGTTTTATGGTTTAGATGGTACAATGGCTGAATGTGGTAAGATTAATTTGAAGTTTCTGTACGATTTGGAACGAAAAGGGAAAAGAGCATTAATTGACTGGTGTGTAAATGAAGGTTTACTTAGTCCCCATTATTAAGTGTCCTGTTTATAGGAAGGAAATGCATATGGTCGAACATTGGATGATAGCAGCGCTACGGAGGATATTTTTTACTCTTATTTTGTGAATTTATGTATACAGATTCTAGTTCAGATAATTTTAGGAAGTTCTTTGGATGCTGTTAAGGAATTTTGTTTAACTGAAGGCATGTTAATTCGTAAATAAGGTAAGTGGATATTTCCTTTGTGTAGTGCAAAGATGAATTTCCTTTTTTTATGTTATTTCATAGTTTGATTTAAAATGTAGTTTATTGAGATTACATATTTTTTGTTGGCTGCTCCTTTGACTTTTTAAGTGAAAATAGGTCAATGTGTACATGGCTAAAGTCAGCAAAGCCTAGTTTTGTGCAATTTCTCTGATATTTTTTAAAGTGGAAATAAGTCGATGTGTACATAGATATTGAGTTTGTGCAATTCGTTGTCTTGTTATTCCGTCTTTGTATAGGAGTGATACAAGCCAAAATAACAAGTCAAAGAATTGCACAAACTCGGTATCCATGTACCAGCAATTTTCGCCAAAGGGGCACTGATAAATATATTTTTACCATTTTTATTTCTCTTACAGGGAGGAAAAATCCCTGAAAACATCTAGGCCAAACTAAGGTTGCTTTTTTTGTCTAATTTAAAATTTTCCTTTGGAATGCTCTCTTCCAGTAATGGATGCCTTCCAAATGTTAAGATTAGGGGTAAAGCACTGGCCAAATAATTTTCATTAATGTTATAAAATATTCATAAGCAAACTATTGCATTTCTCTAATTAAATTGTTGTGAAAGTTGTTATTTATATGCCTCTAGTTAAACTCTCATTAAATTAGCTAAATCCACTTCTATATTGAAGTTCACTTTTCCTTGCCATTAAATGTTATCAGCCGTGGACGACGTGCAATCTCATTAAGCACGATCTACTTTAAAATTATGAATAAAATAATACAATAAACTAAAAAGAAAGGATATTTTCTGATTATCTGCATCTTTATTGAAAAGATAAAAACTCACTGCCAACTTTGGAACTCACTGGCAAGTTTGGAGGGAAACGTTTTAATATCCTTACATGTATTTCAGTGATGCATCCAGTACAGCCTATTTTTTTAGGTCTTTCTTTTCTCATAGAAAACAGGCACACTTCTCAGAGATACTTATATCAATTAATTGTTAATCTCATTTTTCTTCACACAATTTCACTGACATAAAGTCCTTTGTCTAACAATAAATAGAGCAAACAAGATGGTAAAAACTGACTGTCTTCAAATCCGTTTCCAAACCTTATTTTAACATTTTGCT